CGAGCAGGCACGGCGGCGGCTCCCGGAGCGCTCCGGAGCGTCCCGGGATGCCTCGGAGCCTCCTGGTGCACCCTGGAATGCCCTGGAGCATCCTGGAGTGCTCCAGAGCATCCCGGGATGCCTCGGAGCGTCCTGGTGCACCCCGGAATGCCCCGGAGCATCCCGGAGTGCCCCAGAGCATCCCGGAATGCTCTGGAGCATCCTGGAGCATCTCAGAGTGTCCCGGAGCATCCTGGAGTGCCCCAGAGCATCCTGGAATGCCTCAGAGCATCCCGGAGTGCCCTGGAGCATCCTGGAATGCCTCAGAGCATCCCGGAGCGCTCCAGAGCATCCTGGGATGCCTCGGAGCGTCCTGGTGCACCCTGGAATGCCCTGGAACATCCCAGAGCATCCTGGAGTGCCCTGGAGCATCCCTGAGCATCCCGGCATGCCCTGGAGCATCCCGGAGTGCTCCGGAGCATCCTGGACCGACCTCTCCGCTCCTTCCCGCAGAGGCTCCTGGTTCAAGCCGGCGTCCAGGCCAAGCCGGCGGCCGTCTCCCCGCTCCAGATCACCGGTGTCCAGGTATCCCAGCAGGTAGGGACACGGCTGCTCCGGATCCCTCCGTGCCGGCTCCGAGCCCCACGGAGCACCAGGAGCATCCAAATTCCGCTGTCCTTCCCGGCTTTTCCCAAGCCGAACGCATTCTTGGGACACCTCCTTTTGCCCCGGGAATCTCCGCCCCCGTGGGGATGTCGGAGCGGCGCATCCCGCGTCGGGAAGCGGGAATGTCGGGATGCGCCGCTCATCCCGCCCGGCTCTCTCCATTCCCAGCGCTCGCCGGTGCCGACCAGCAGCTCCGGAGCCAAAACGGGCCCCGGGCAGCAGCTCCAGGTGCACGGGGTCCAACCCGTTCCCGCTGCTCCGGAGGTGAGTCCGGAGCCGCTCCGGAGCCTCCCGGAGCAGGCGGGGAGCGATAAGCGGGGAGGATTCCCAGGAATGTGGAGGCGTTTGCGCCCGGCTCCATCCCGGCTCCGCGCGGAGGGGGCCGGGCGGAGCAGGGGGGAAGAGACGGAGGGGGAAGGAAAAGTAGGGAAAAACGGGGAGAATGGAGGGAAATGGAAGAGAAAAGAGGGAAAAGGAAAAGGGGGAAAGAGGGAGGAGCAGGAAGGGAAAAACGAGGAGAGGAGGGAAGGGTAAGAGGAAGGGAAAAACGGGGAGAACGGAGGGAAATGGGAAGCGAAAGGGAAAGAAGGAAAAGAAAGAGAAGGAAAAGGGAGAGAAAGAAAAGAGGGAAGGAAAAGAAAGAGAAGGAATAAGGAGAGGAGGAAAAGCAAGAAAGGAATAGTGAGAAAGGAAAAACAGGGAAGGAAAAGCAAGGAAAAGAAAGGAAAAGCAAGAGAGGAAAAGCGGGAAAACCAAAGAGAGGAAAACAGGGAAAGGCAGAGTGAGGAAAACAGGGATAGACAAAGTGAGGGAAAGACGAGCAAGGGTAACAGGGAAAAGCAAAGTGAGGGAAAAATGGGGACAAGTGAAGGGAGCAGGGAAAGGTG